TGAGACGGTTAATCGACGAGAAACTAACCTGAGATGATCGAGGATGCACACCGTCGATGATTAGCCGGAGTAAATCAACGGTCTTCGTCGTCGCACCAAGAATCGCCTCGGAGCAAAAAAAACCCTAGGTTTCTTTCGAGAAAGGACGAAATGAAATAACACGCGAGATCCTTCTTTCTTCGGCTAAACCGCGTCCTCCAAACGTCCACTCCACACGCGACACGTGTCTTGAACCCGTATCATACGGGTTCAGAGTTAAGACGCGGATCATGGGTAATTACCCATTTTCTATTTTTCTTTTTCCTTCTGGGCCTAAGACCCCGAGCCCAAAAACCGGCTAAGAACCCTCAATGCTCTTGCTCTAATGGTCGCACTTACTCAGGACTGGTTCACGTGATATCCACTGTTTTAATTCATCGCGTGGCCGTACCATGAAGACATTATTACAAACATTTCGACGGTTCACGTGATGTCTCATGCACTTGTAGTCTTTTACTTGTGAGTTTTTCTTTTTCTTTTTGGTAATACTTATATGAGTTTATTCACCGAATTTTCCTATAATTTAATGTTACATTCTCGATATGGTCACTGAACATGAAATCAGTAAATATTAAAATTAAAGGTTTAAATCTCCGGATTTTCTGCGCGTCGCCATCTTAATTGTCGCATGGACGGTGGACCTAAGTTAAAATCTACTAATGTTTAGCATAAAGTTTTCTTTAGTTAACGCAACATTTTGTGTTTATAATTATTTCACTGTTTTATTCCCGTCGACAGGGACAGATGTTTGCCATTAAATGAACTTTTAACTTTAATGTAGGGCATATTGTAATACGTATCATTATGCGTCTAATGGACCCATATACTTTACTTATATGAATATCAGTTTTCAAACATGTATATAATAAAGAAATTGTGGTTATAAATATAGTCTTACAGTGTCAGATAGTTAATTTCATACTGTTTAATAGACATCCATGTTAAAATATAGTGTATATTCTGAACTAATCAGATGATCCCAACAATCTAAAAACTCCAAAAAAACGCCGGTCCAAATGTACCATTGCATGCGTCTGGCTGAAGCAAGAATTGAAATTAATTTAATTGTTTTGAGTAAATATGTATTTTTAAAATACAACATATACGCATGTGTGTAGAGAAAAGGGAGTGGAATAATCATTAAATTTATGGGAAAGTGACATTGACATACATATTCGTATGTTTGTTCAATAGTGTTAACTTCAAAGTTACTCTTGGATTCTTAAATTGTTTCGTCACTAGATTTAGATGCTGTGGCAACGACCTCAACCAAAACCACACCAACTAGTGTATGAGAGACAAGTGCCCTTTTCAATGTTTCGTTTGATTTAATTCTTAAGCTACCATTGATTAGTATTTTGGGTTGCCATATATTAGTTATATTGCTACTGCATTTCAATGATTATATATAATAATGATTGAAATAAAACCAAGTGTTATATCAGGTTGGTGGGTTTATTATAGTATTTTGTTATGGTGCTGCTATTGAGTTGAAGAGTTAGATAGTTCATGTTGACCTTTTTGACATAGAAAAGAGTCGATAATGATGAGCCGATACTGGGCCAATGTTAGCCGATATTGGGCTGCAATGTTCTTTGAACACAGAATAAGCTTTAGATTGTTAACGAAACGCTGGCTCGATTAATAATTACCTTTATCCATTTCATCGAATCCCCAGATATATTGAAGCAGTGATATGTTTTTTTTTTTGGTAAAATGTTAAGAAGCAGTGATATGTTTTTTCTTTTTAAATAACAATCGAATCCAGGCTCTGGATGCTAAGTTAGTTAACCTCAAGAAAGACCTTTGGTTTTAAAAACATGGTCACGTCGCTTTTAAAAAAAAAAACTTTTTCTTGTTAAACTATATATCATGTTAATGATGAAAAGAATTACATAAATAGAACCTTAAGTTTGCAACGCTCCGGCAAAGAAAGAGAGAAAAACATTGGGCAAGGAAATACAACAGAATGCAATATACTTTCAAGCAATCATCACAGCCAAAAGAGAAAGAAGAAGACCAAAGTGCGTCATCCCCTTTCTAGCTAGGATTGTGAGTCTCACTTCCCTGTCACGAAATATAGCGATTGGTGGTAATGACGTTTGGTTGTGTAACACATTGTTTCTATGTTTCCATAGATGAAAAAATCGTAGCCTGGACCACTAGCTTCCCTAAGATAGAAACCTTCATAGAGGCTCGAGATCGGAGCTATGAGAGTAGCTCCGCCCATCTCACGTACAAAGAAGTAGCCAATAACCTCATTTCTCACAGACGCAATGAGGAGAATCCAGGGTTCCTGAAATTCTATATCATGTATATAGATATAAAAAATATATTCAATCTTTTGTTTAGACCTTGTACGTAGATTGGGGTCTTGAATGAATGTGTGTTTGATAGATGGAATCGCAAGCGTATAGAAAGATGTACTTCGAAGAGTTTTGTGCAGCGGCATTTAGCAGACATCAGCTAGAAGCTGTTGAAGCTCGGGATGGGATTGCAGGCACCGGTTTCCAGCATTTTGAAACCGAGTGATCACTGTTGAAGATGTATAATATAATAATTATATTCACTGAACCAGTCTTGGTGGTGCTCTCTCATTTTTTGGGATATAAATTTCATAACTGTCATTGAGCAGGAACAGAATGTTGATGCATCTGCGTACGGGCACATGAGAGAATAGGTAAACTGAATTTCTTAGGGTTCACTAAGTTCTTGCATGGAGTTACCCTTCACCCTTCTTGCTGCTCACGCAAGACCATGCTAGTCCTTTATTTTTATTTTTTTGACAAAATGTGAATTCATTTCATAGAAATGGCATTGAGATACAATAGCTTGGATCTAATTCTGCTAGTCCTTTATTCTTTTAGGAGTTTTTTAAATATTTATCGATCTTTCATCAGAACAGAGTTATATAAACTTCTGAGAGCCGTGAAGAGTATATTCATTCTTTTTTTTATTGTATTTTATTTTATCATATGTACAGTAGAGAGAAGACGAACAAAATATGTACATATAAGACCATGTTTATTAGAGGTTTTTAGGATGTAATTCTTAATTTTTTTAGTTAAAAGATAAGTGACGATTTTTTAATTTTTCTAAGAACTCCACTCTTAAAAGCCTCTATTAATCATGTTCTAAGAACTGGTTTTAGTCAAAAAATGTTTAGAAAAACAAAAAACAAAAAATGTCAAATATGAGTTAATAATCTACCCTTAGAGCTTCCCAATAAATATGCCCTAAGATAGATGCGTTTCACATGTTTTCTTGCAACATATATAGAAAAATAAAAAAAATATGGAAGATATTTATGTTTTCTTTCCTTAGGCAAATCACTTCAAAAAAAAAAAATTACGTTCTACTGCATTAAATACTTTGGAAGTTTCGGAATTACATTAAAAAGACATTATCAGCAATCTTACCTTAGAAGTATATAATTTATGCAAAATTAAGAAACCATTTGAGGGGTTAAATATTAAAACTCAAAGCTAAGGGTCAAGAGAGTTACACTGTTTTCTTAAAAAGTAAAAAAGTTACACTGTCATGATCACCAAAATTAAATTGAAATGAAAAGTTATAAATCAACAATTAGTGATAATAAACGAAAAAACTAAGCCTTTCATTTTCTATCATGGCGCCGACAATCGAATCATGACCATTTATTATAAATTATGATAATGAGATGAGTGGGTTTGTTCGTACCAATTAGTCTACGGAACCACCATTTTATTTTCTAGAAGTAAGAGCATCTGCAACCGTGAGATTCATAGGATTGTTTAAAAAAATTATTTGAAATTTGGTAAGGATATTTTCAATTTTTTTTTAAAAAAGGAAAAAATGATCATTTACGAGCTGCAATGTGTCCTGGAAACCTGCAAATAATTTAAGGATTCGCTAAGAAATAGTCTTTATTTAGAAATTTTAAAGATCGAATCCTTAACTTTTTATGATATCTACTAATTATTTTTTTTTTTTAAAGACTCTCTTACAGGACCGTTGAAGATAATCTAATTCATCGGTTACAAAACCATTATTTTCCCGGTTTTGTAGTTAAATGTTTGAAAAGTATTTTGTTTATTTCACAAGGATGGGTCTTTGGAACGAAAAAAACTGTAATTGGCACATAGCCATTCAAGTCAATAAATGTGAAATAGGATCTTTGGAATTATCAAATGGGAGTTAAGACCCTGAAGGATGCATAACTCACCTGCCAACATTGGAAGATGTACTGCGATTTACTTCATTTTGTATCAGTGTATGTAATATAAATACAATACCAGTACTAGTAATCAGTTTAAAGTCAAATGAAATTGCATTCTTTTAAGGACCAGCCGTTACAATGGTGAGATAAAAAGGAAATACTATAAATGAAAAGAATGTGCGAATCTCTTCTTTTCTATATTGGTTATAATTATATTTGATTTTGTTTTCTAATGTCATCAATTTTTTTTCTCATTCAAAAACACATGTAAATACTAAATACAGCAAATACAGTGAATTTTTTATAAATTAATAATATTAAAACTATATCAAAAAAATATTTTTTTATTAATTTATAGAGATTATTAATTTATCGATATACTAATTAAACCAAAAATCTAATTTAAGACTATAAAATTATATTATTTTATAAAAAAAATTAGTGTATATTAATTTATAGAATATTAATTTAAAGAGGTTATATTGTATGTTTGAGTATATGATATTACCAATAAGATCCAATATTACAACATATTTTATGTTTTGCCTAATCTCTGAACTAGTCATAAACCAAAAAATCTGGTATATTTCTCAAAAATCTTAAATATTTCTTCTTAGCAAAATAGCCAATGCAAATTTCCAAAAAGTTCCATCGTCTTCATATTCTTATGATCATCGCCGCCGTGATTATCTCCAGCCATTAAAATGACTAAACTAATAAAAAATAGAAATTAACTTCATTTCACATAAAATTCTCTACAAATTACAGAAAATATATTATAATCGATATGAAAAAAAAAAACAGAAAATTCACTTCATTCTTGGGTTAGGCCCGTTTAGGCTCCTCAACTCCACAAGATTGACTAAGAGAAAGTATTGAAACTTTAAAAAAACATACAATGATTCATTCACCATCGTCATTCCATCATCTATCATCATCCATCACGCTCTGAAACATCCAACAAGAGGATTATACTGGTCACGACCGTTATGTCTATGATCATGGCTCTTAATACCATGATAAACAGATCTCTCTCCATCAATCAAAGCTTGAACGTAACGAAACTCCGCCACATGGCAAGGAATCGTGATGGTGCCCTTTTGATCGAATCCATACTCATCTTCTGCTTCTTTCAAGAGCTGCATGAACAATGGATGATTAAAATACCAAATAGGAACTACAAATCTCTGTTGCTCTTCTGCTTGAGATCCAACTTTGATGGCTAAGCATCCTTTTGGAACATTTTTAGTTTTGACCGTTTGTTTGCGATGTAAATGGAAGCTTTTCAGGGTTTTCTCTCCAGTCCCCATGATTTTAAGAAAACGTTTATAAAGATGATGAAGAAACAAAGATTAAAAAAAAGATTCTCCTGAAAAAATTGGCTAGAAAGCAGGCCATGGGTCTTCAAGTGTAAGAGATGAGAGTTCGAGAGAACTAATTAGGTTCCTCATTTTTTTGTGTGGAGATAACAACAACTAGATGAATGAAAGAAACAAACGAAGGGCTTTGTTTATAAAGAGAAAATACATAATTTATTAGAAAAAACAATCCATCAAAATCATATGGGACGCTCCTATTTTCTTATTCAATTTCTCATAATAAATACAATGGTGGTATATTAAATTTCCTATTTGGTTGTCATTTGCTTTATAAAGAGCTAAATACTAACAACCAATGGGTATTTTAAAAAGGTATATAAATTAGTCAGCAAGAATTATGAAAAAAATCAACGGTAGTTAAGTTAACTTTTATTTCATTTTAGTTGTTCTTTTAGGTTTGTACACAAGTTAACTTTTATTTCATTTTAGTTGTTCTTTTAGGTTTGTACACGTGTATTAACAAAATATTTATTTTTACATATTTGCTATATAAAAATATTATTACCTATAAGTATAATTATATTTTAACAAAGAAAAATATAAATAAATTTGACATTAAATTATAAAATAATATTTACTTTAAAACCAAAATTTTATTCTACAACGATAATTAAATTAAAACTTGAAGAATAACAACTAAATGCAATAAGACATTAAAATTATGATGCGAAGTGTGAGACTTCTTTTAAAAAGCCAACATATATACTTATTAATATTAATATTTCATCTCTTCAAATTATATGACCATATATGTTTTGAATTTTATATATATTAAAATATATTTATAAGACAAATCTATTATTTATAAAAATTATATTGTATCATTAAGTCCATCAATCCAATGGACTACCATGTTTTTCTCTCATAACATTAGAGTAATGTGTAATAGAGTTTAATTCTACTTTTCTATTATTTTATTTTAGAATGAAAAAAAACAAAATAATAAACAAATAATAAATACATTATTCTATTTATGAAATAAATATATTTATTCAATTAAAAAGTACAAACAGATTTAAGTTAAACTATTTACCAAAAAGTGAGTGGAATAGAGTTGCTCTAAACAAAATATTTGTTTGTACAACAAATTTTCACTTACACATATGTATAGCGAAATGAAATAATCTTATGTAGCTTGGTTGCCAATTCTCATGGCATATATTGTCAAATTTCTTTATTCATAAATAACCTATCATTTCTTGATCAATAGAAAACATAGTAGTAAAATAATAGGTTTTCTGTAGCTATATGATACACTGTGTTCAGTTGATAATATTATTAGTTTCCCTAATTTATCATACATAGTTACTTATTCATCAACACATATACAGTGAAACCTCTATAAATTAATAATATTAGGACTACACCAAATTTTTATTTTTTTATTAATTTAGAGAGATATTAATTTATCAATATACTAATCGAACCAAAAACTCAATTTCGAACTATAAAATTATATTATTTATAGAGATAGTTAGTGTATATTAATTTATCGAATATTAATCTATAGAGGTTCTACTGTAGTTTTAAGCTATCGTTATCAAGAGTCTCTCAACTAAAATATATCACCAAAAATGATACTCGTTTGTTTCACTAATATCCATGTTTAGAAAGAAAAGAAAAAAACTGTTTCCAAAAGATATATTTTGTACATTTAATAGGTAATGTAGAATATTACAAACTTCTTAAAAATAAATTATACTTATTAATTTTTGATTGGTTAAAAAAATAGTTAATCATAAAATAATAGATATATAATCAAAATCTAATATTTTAATATGTGTAAAATCCAAAACATATATTCTATGAAACAGATTGATAGTTTAAAAACGAGATTTATGTCTAAAATAAAAATTATATTTTGAATTTTTTTGGGTATGAGCATAAATGAGTAATGAGGACCCACAATTAATATGGGGTTGGTGACTCAATTAACCAAATTAGTCTATTAATTACTCTGTTCTACATTAAACCTGAACCATCATGTAGTGAAGGAAACATATCAACAGTTAGGAACATTAAAAGCGTGATCAAAGTATTACAGAAATGTAAATTCGGAATATCTCACGTAGTAAACATCAGCAATTAAGGACATTAAAAGCGTGATCAACAAAAATATAGATAGAAGATAATTTTTGAATTGACTAATCTCACATACATTCAAGATTCTTTTAAGTTATGGAATTTGGAATTTAAGTTGAACTATTCATCATACTCTAATAGGAGTACTAACAGTACTAAACGTAACCGAGATCAATTTAATAAAATCAACTTTTAAAATTAATAGTTATTAAATCTACCACTCATTTTTTGACAAAATATTTTATTTATAGTAAAATAAAATTACAAAGTCAATATCTATATTTAAAAAAAAAATTATTACCAAATCATATATGTGTCATATAATGAAAAATATACAATACGAGAAATGGATTTAATGAAATTTCAGAAAAATCTTTTTTGTAACTTAAATTTGTTGGAGTGACTTAGATCATTTACAACAAATTCAAAAAAAAATTCAAATTAGCTTTTATTTTAGTTTTCCAACAAACTTTAAATTCTCAAATTTCAAATGTCTAAACGGTTTTAAATCATTATTACAAATCTCAAATACTATTTACTTTTTCATTTATGATCTCTATAACCATGTAACTTATATATAGGTCTATTAATACTGATTTTTGTATATTTCACTTAAATATTCAAATATATATTTACATATCTGTGATTATTAGTACATAAAATATACAAGTATGTTAAAACAAAAAAAAAATCAAATAATTAATAGAAAATAATATATATTTGTAATTTAACTATTACGTAATTATTTTCTTTACTTAATATTGTTTCTTTTAACAATTAAAGATTTGCTTATTTGGTGAATACATATATGAGTTATAAAAATTATGTTTTGCATTGTTAATGTGTAGTTCTTATTTACTTGTGAACTTTAGTGCTTATAATTACTATTTTAAAATTTGAAGATTAAAATGGAATATATAAAAAAATTAAAAAATATACTTGAAGTTCATTGTTAGAGTAACCCACTCTAGACTTTTATGTTGCGGATCATTCATTTTCAAAATGAGGTTTTTTGTTTGAGAAACTGAATCAATGTCGTCACGTAATCAAGACGTAGTGATGGTGTGGAGGCAATGTATATTTTTGGATTCTTATAGTCAAAGCGTTACTTTTATATACGTATTATTATGCATGACCTCATGCACACATCAAGCAAATCAACATCTAAAACTTGCAAGTATAATATATACACACAGAATACTGTTGTGGTCTTATAGATAAATGTCAGAATCTAAACTCTGGGACTATTCGATGAACATCTTACACAGCCGGTCTCGGACATGTCGACTTATATACCAGCCTTACAATATTTAAACTCCAATCAGTTATATATAAAATACTTTAAATTAGCACAATTCAGTTCACTAAACTTTTCCGCCGATAGGGTCGAAGTGTTTGGTATGAATTGGTCGGATCGACTTCGTTCCAACGTTGCGTACTAATTTCCTTATCGATGTACTTCTCAATGGATTTTGAAGTATATCCTTCTCGAAATATAGATATTAATTGGCACATTCTAAAGGCCTTTCGTATTTACGAAAATATTCAAAAGACCCAAATTCATTAGAAGAGAAATATGGAAGATAATATGCTTCCCTGGTATTTATGATGAATGGCACCGAAGCTATGAATTATTACAAATACAATAAATGTATTTTGAGAGAAGAAAATGTTTTTTAGATTTGTTGAGAGAAGAAAATGTTTTTTAGATTTCTTGACAAGTTGAATAAAAAACGAGGCCGTCCAAGTTGGTGGTAGTGACATGGTAGCGAATACTATGGTACGTTGAAAGGAGGAAAAAAGATACAAAATAATTAAATCGAAAGGGGCACATGTCACTCTATCAGTATCTAAAACCTAAAAGTAAATACGAAAAATGAATATCTTAGGTCCCTTTTAAATTGAAATAGATAAGATAAAGCAGAGCACACTAACAATAATGATATCAAGGGTCACTTTGTGTGGAAAATGAGACAACGATATTCCAAATAAGTCAACTTTGTGGGACGGTGTGGGTCGACCTTAGATTATATCAAAAAAAAAAAAAAAAAAAAAAAAAAAAAAAAAA